GCCGAGGGGGGCTGCCCGCCCGGGCGGCTCTCTGCCGCCCGCGGTGTCGCCGAGTTTGGCGTGACGCCAGCAGTCGCTTTGCCGCGGCGTTTCGTGTTGCACGCAGCCGTGGGATCCGCAGGGATGCGCTCTTCTACCCCGTGGGGGAATAACGCTTGTGGGCTCGGGGATCTCTCTTACCTGTTGAACCAGCGCGCCGTTGCCGGTTTGCCTGCCTTTAGGCGAGAAATAAAAGTTATTAACAAGATCGTAGGGGCTTTAGTTCCGCATAGTAATCTGAACCCGCGCCGCTGAAACACACGTGGTTCTGGTGGCTATGTTGTGCGTCCGCTAAGAAATTCCCTGGTGTTTAAGCGTTTTTCCAGATAAACGAAGAATAAAAGCTTACCCTGTGATACTTTGCTTTCTTTGTCTCTTAGGTTAAAAAAATAAATAATTGAAGTCCTCTTTATGAAACTGATCTTCAGTCAAGTGTAACTTTTGATGTATGGTCTCTAAAGCCCCCCACTATGCCAGCAGCTACCGTAGACCATAGCCAAAGAATCTGTGAAGTTTGGGCTTGTAACTTGGATGAAGAGATGAAGAAAATCCGTCAAGTTATACGGAAGTATAACTATGTAGCTATGGTAAGTAGGCGCTTGATGTTTAGCTAGCAAATTACCACAAAACCCATGATAATTTCATTTGATGTCAGTAAATTAAAGCTGTAAACTTGTTCACCTGTTTTCATTGAAAGAATAATGGATCCTTAATGTCGAATTAACGCTGTACGAACATTAGGATCCTGATCTCCTACCTTATTAAAAGCTAAATTCACACTCGGTACTCTTCGGCTATGAAACTGTTCGGTGCTTTTGAAATGTGTTTTATTAAAAATGAGCAATGTAAATTTTTATGGGTGTCTTTTGTTGAAGTTTTAATTCTCTTCTTACAGGATACAGAATTTCCAGGAGTAGTTGCAAGGCCTATTGGAGAATTCAGAAGCAACGCAGACTATCAGTACCAGTTACTACGCTGCAATGTAGACTTGCTAAAAATAATTCAGCTAGGACTGACATTTATGAATGAGCAAGGAGAATACCCTCCAGGAACTTCAACTTGGCAGTTTAATTTTAAATTTAATTTGACGTAAGTGTTAAATATCTGTGCTGTTGAATGTATGTTTCTGACTTACTGAAAAGGTATTCTAGGTGGTGAAAGCTATAAGCAACTCTTTTTATCTATATGATTGGAATACCCTAGATACTTTATGTGAGGAAAACTTCTGTCAGCCAAACATGTGCTTTTTTCCCCTCGTTTCTGTGCGGTCTGTCTTACTGTGGTAATTTGGTCAAAAATGCTAAGCAATTTCAACAGAAGTTTTAAAAAGAGGCATTTATGCTTGCTGTAAGAGTTAGCTCTGCATTTTCATATTTAGCATTTCGAAGTGCTTCTACCTTAACTTGGTTTAGCGCTTACTGGTTGTTATAGACGTCACATGTTGTTTCTTTGCATATTTTTAAATGTTTCATACCAATGTATGGAAAAAAAAAAAAGCTACCGAGGTGACTAAAGTAGAAGTATGACAAATGTTATCAGTAAGTTCTAAAGCAAGTGTGCTCTGTCCTCTCTAAAACAACATTATTGTTGTTAAAAGACCCACAAGTTCTAGATAATATTCTAGGTAAAATACTTACTTTAATTCTGCAGCAGCAACTTATTCTGTTAAGCTACTGTATTTTAATTTTCTTCTGCAATAGGTTGAAAGGGATTATTGACTCTGCAGCATAACTGCTGTGGAGATTTTTGTTCTGCATTATTTTGTGTAAAGTGCTGGTTAAAAAGCAAGCTGATTTCCACTATCTGTTGGACTAGTACTGTGAACATTTCACAGTCTGATTCTTATCAGTGATAAACCTTTAGGTATAAACCTAGCTTTTCTGGTGGGATGAGACGCTTCTCTGGAGTTGTAGTTATGTCTTCAGCAGGTAGTCAACAAGGTTACGAGTATCTTGAATTTTTCCCTGAAGCAAACATAATTGGTCTGATAGGTTTTCATATGGCCCGAGTTGAGTATCGGTGCAAACACTTCTCAAATGTGTTGAAGGCTTGGGGTTTTTTGGCAGTTGTGTTACAAGCTGATCACCGGACAGTTTGATTTACATGAGTGAAAACTGCAGCCTACAAAGGACGTTTAGAGAAGGGACCTTTTTTCTGCAGATAAAAAGACTTGTTTTCAAAGTAATCAGGGTTCTTAGAAAGAAAACAACTGCTGCTGTCTCTTGATCTTTCTACCTTTCTAAACAAGCAGTGCTGTGGCTTGTCACAAATCAGTTTGGTCTGAGGAATGATATGCTCTTTTTAGTTTTGTTTGAAGCACCTCTTGAAAGAAAAAGAAGTGCGGATTTGATATTTTAGTATCTCTAAACTTACCTGGCCGTATAAATGCTGGGTGGAAGTCATCCTTTGTCTTAGAAGAATAATATACTAATCCTGCTAAGTATGGGAGAAGGAGGAAGAATGAATTAATAACTTCCAACCTGTGGTTTGGGATGAAGAGCCTGTGTTCTGTTTTATTTATTTTCTGAGCCTCAGAGGTCTACTTAAGCAACTGAAAACAAAAGTAGTTTTCCATCTGTTTGTGCCAGGTGCTGCATAGGTAAGACAGTTCGGTAAGGCAAGATACAGGTAGCCACCTAACTAACTTGTTACTAGTTCACTGGGGAGATTTTATACAAAAAGGTAAGCTAGGTCAGTGCTGCATGAAAAGTGAATGTGTTTGGTTTTTTGGTTTTTTGTTGTTTTTTTTTTTTTAAATGGGTGGAAAAACGACTTATTTTTGTCTGTTTCTAAACTTCCTTTTGGGGACTGGCATTGTGCCAAGTGTTCTGCTCCTAAAGCAAAACAGCTGTTGGCTGTTCCTAGAAGGTGGTGGGGGGGGTCTGTGTGTGGTTCCAGCCAGGTCTTGTTACAGTGTGCTTTTAAAAAGCATAAATATTTCTCTAAACTAACTATCCACCTGATTAGTGAAGAGCAACAAACTGGAATTAAAACCTTTTTTTTGTAAAACAGGCACGTTTGTTTTGGATGGGTTCTTTAATGTATTGTGGAGATGGACAGGTGTTGGGAAGCTGATGCCTTGAAGCTGGAGAACTAATGAGCAGCTGTGTGGGAGGGAGGAAAAAAGATACAACACATCTTGAGAATGTATCTCTGTGTTCTGATGAATGATGACTTGCTATTAAGAGTAAGGAATGAAGTCTATGACTGAATCTAATAGTCAAGTTTGATATATTGGTTGTCCTGTCTTTTATTTTTTGTTTTTTGTTTTTTTTTTTTTTATTAAAATTGAAAACTATACACTGGGAAGACTTTGTAGAATAGTATGTTGTGGACAGTAATATGAATATCATCTTTTAAGTAGAGCCACGTTTGCATTTTTCTTTCAGTTAACCATTCTATGTCTTTGTTATGATTATACAGATTAAACTTTAGGGAAAAAAAAAACCCTATCCATTTCTTCACAAAATTTTTAAGACTGTACAAAAATGTTAGTGGTAAAGGGAACAAATACAAGGATAAGCGAGGCTCAAACAAGACATAGAGGAATTTTTTTTTCCATCCTGTTAAATTTCAGGTCCAAAATATAGCTATTAATGTTGTAGTTGGTTGTTTAGAAAGAAAATGTTAGGCTACCTGAATTTTAAGGATTGACTAGATGGAGCAAGTACTCAATTTCCAGTTGTAGCAAGGAAGGAAGTTCTGATGAGTATGTGTCTAAATATTTACATAAGCTCAAATCACAAGAAACGTGTGGGAAATGTTATCCACAGAACTCATACAGCACTGGGATCTGGAGTGTACTGTTCCTAGTTCTAGAATGTAACATGTTAGTGCTTCAGCTGTTATATTTAATTTGTCACAGTTCAAGTAATGGGTCTTATTTGGTAAAATATCTGTATTCATGCATTCACTTACCTTGGTAAATTTGCAAAAGGGGAGTTCTGTGTAGCTGGAAGAGGAGCAGGAACTAGTTTGGTTTTTTATGAAGGAGGTGAGAATGGAGGTGCTGGGAATGGCAAAATGCTAGTGAAGGTTAACAAAAGCTATGAAAAATGGTTGTTTTTCTAATTAACGTGGAACAAAGTCAAGTTATTCCTGCTCTGTGCTAGTGAAGTCTGTGGAATGAATAGCAAAATGAAACATTACCAGGTTTATAATTGCTGGGCTTTGTAGATTTTGAAAATTTACTTTTCCTCTCTCTGTTTTTAGAGAAGATATGTATGCCCAGGACTCTATTGAACTGTTGACGACATCTGGTATCCAGTTTAAAAAGCATGAGGAAGAAGGAATTGAGACACAGTACTTTGCAGAACTGCTTATGACATCAGGAGTTGTTCTGTGTGAAGGAGTCAAGTGGCTTTCCTTTCATAGGTAAATTCTGCATGATAAGTATTTGAGTTTTCAATATTGATTATTGAGTTCTAGAGCATGGATTTTACATCTTGAGTGGTATGCATCTGATAGTGTATATAGCACATACCTTGGTTGGTAAGACTTAGAAAACTGTTTCTGCTGCAGTACCTATAGTACCATTCTATATTAGAAGAATAGAGCGTACAGGGTGGTGCTGGTATTTTGGTTTTGGTGTTTACACTGTAACCAGAAAACTCTAAACCAGAAGAACATGAAACTCCTAAGCCAGCAGGTGGCATTGTATCTTTTAATATCACACACACAAGTCATAATAGGAACAAGGATAAAAGCAAACTATTCCTAGGCAATTTTTGAGCAAATATTGTCTCATGGCAGGCACTGGAGAATTATTAGTGAAGAGCTTTATAAAACACTTCAGTTTTAAATCTCCTGGTAATCTGGGCAGCTGAAAATAACTCAGCTTGGAAGGAGAGGCCTGGTAAGCCTTAATTTTAGCTGCAGTAATGAATATATTTTACTATTTATTCTATCACAGGAACTCATCTTCCAAGTAGAAGTAGAAATGTGAATGTTAAATCTCTATGAATCTGTCAAAATACAAAAGATCTTTGGGTGTTAATAAGATTTAACACTTTAAAACTTAGGTAACAGCCATTGTATAGTCAACTACGTGCCAGAGATAATTGCACTTTTTGCAAGCAATAGTGGCTTTAAAGACTTACTGCTATGGAATGCCCTCAAGTTGACATCTTAAATGCTGGCTGCTGAGTAAGTCAGCAAAGGTAGAGCAAATGTTTTAGTGGAGACTAGTAGTTTCCTTACAGCCTTATTCTTGTTTATCACGCACATTGGTGGGTGGTAATATGTAGATGATGAAATTAGAAAAAAACCCCAAACTCTTCATCCTTAAGTATTAGATCTTGGAGGGGAGGTTGGAAGAGAAAGTCGTATGGAATTAGAGAAGTATTTACGTTATTAACCAACTGAAAAATAAGCATTGCTTCAGGAAGGAATGTATAAAACAGTAGTACAAAAGTGTATATAACAGCCTGTTGCAGAATTCATCATTTTGACTTGTTTTGTAGAAAGCAAGTGTTAAACTGACTTTCAAAAAGGAAGGGGGGGGCTGAGGGGAAGAAAAGACAGTTAACAACAAAAAAATAACGTCTTTGAGTATGCTTGTCACCTAATCTGCCTACGTCTTCCACTTGCAGCTGTCTTAACTCACAATATGACTCCAAAATAATCTTGCTCTTGCTATCTTGCTACTAGAGTAACACCTTAGGAAAAAATACTGGAACAAGAATGCCATGAACTGTGTTAAAATAACTACAAAAGCTGAATTGGTGAATTAAGTTTTCCTTCAGCTTCTTAAACGCGTTATTACGGGCTCTTATGTGCATATTTGGGATTTACACTTGACTACAGTAAAATAACTTAGATGGTTCAGGAGAAGGGGAGGGTAGGCATGTTATGCGTGTAACTGGTGCACCAACAGACACTGCCACATAGAAGTAGTTAACAGCTACAAATCGGTGTTTTTTCCAATATCACCTAATAACTTTAAGGGCCCAGTGCAAGCTATCCTAGCAAAAGAATACCTGAGCCATTTCTACAGTAGGGATTCTTTTTAAAGCATAATTATATTGATTGTATGTGATTCCTGACTAATATGCTGGTTGAAGTGTAGTGCAAACTATGTGCAATAATGCCATTTTTACTAGTGCAGCTTATGAAGGGGTTTTGGAATGGCTTGATTAAAGTCCAGTTTCATCTGTGCTAAAATGAGTTTCTGTTGTGGACTTAAGTGAAAATGTCTTTAGAAATCCTCTGAAGACAGCTATTCCAGCAAATGATTGTCAAATACTGATTATCCACAACTCTGCTTGAAGTCAGAGAGTGTTTAACAGCTTTTGTGCTTGACAGAGCGTGATGATGATATATTGAGCACAAAACCCTCGAGTAGTGGGTTAAGTTCTGAGGAAGCTAAGATTGTACAAAGCTATAAATGAACATGGGTCACATAAAATGTGCCATGAAGAATAGTAAACAGGTGTTTCTAAATATATCTTAGGTTGATTGTGATTATGTTCTATCAGTGGAAACTTCAACAGTGGGACAGCTCAGCTGAAAATTTCTTTCATGTAGGCTTTCCATGCCAGTAGTTCTTTGACTACTGAAAAAGCTGTGCTAGGTAGTTGCTGACTGTCCTATTGCTTCTACTTCCTTAAAATGCTGTAATTACCACTAACTCTCAAAATTTGTGAGTCTCCTAGGAAGTGGGCAGAGGGGAGTTACTCCTTTCTCGGAGTGTGAGGTTATATTTTGGTTTTGCTTCATTTCCCAGTCTTTGATTTCCTTGAACTCTTACATAGTCTATTTCTAAGCTCTTAGCTTCTCAGATAGTGTTCTTTGTGTGCTTTTTATCTCTGCATTTGATGTAGGTGTCTTGGCATCCTGACGTGTTGGCAAATCTATGTGGACCTTGCAGTTCTGCCAGGCATGAGCGAAGAAACATTTGCACTGTCACCGATTCTTGTATACTGCAACTTCATAAGCAACCCCCATCAAATCTTTTGTGTGTGTTTAAAATGTATTTGAGTCAATGAGAGAGGAGGGGGAAGCCCTGAATTTCTGACTCTTGTCCCAGTCAAGAGAGCTGTGAGTGCTTGGCAGTCTAACAAGTTATAAAACAGAACAGCTCAAACACTGTTTTTGTGGATGTTCAGCTGACTGATCTGCTGAAGCTTTTGAGTGTCCACCTGTGTGCAACCTCCTCGGTCTACCTTTGGAGGCTCTGTGCAAACTTGCCTCTTAACCCAGATGTTTTTGGGAAGCTGGAAAGTTCCAAGCTATTGCATTTTAACAGTCATTTGTGTCTAACTGATCTTAGTAAAATTTAATCTGTTGGCTCATTTCTATTAGCCAGTTACAAAATGAAGTAAAGCTTTCTCAGCTCTGTCAGGTTTTGATTTATTTCAGAGACTGTTGGTGCTTGAGTAGACTTCATTGTTAATTGGCTATCTGAATTCTTTCTGGATAGTAAGGGAAAAAAATACAGGCACATTTCATCTTTTCCATAGTCTTGTTGCCTATAGCTGTCCATGTTCAGTGAAGAAAAAAAGTGGTTGTAAGAGTGCTTATGTTGCTGTATAGCTCCAGGGATTGTGAGTTACTACACTAAGTAACTTTAGGTGATGGTATTAGAAATGGTGAAAGTTTTTAAGGAAAGGAAGCCTATGTGCTTCAGGGTATAAACCAACCACTAATTGCCTGTTAAAGGATTAGAAGAAAACTTTTTTTAATGAGCACGTAATTAGGTAATTGCTCACTATGGACTTTCTTACCCTTCTGTTAGCATTCAGCATTGGCCACTCAAAAATTTTTGACCTAGATGTATCTTAGTCTTGAATTGGAGTGACAGTTCTTATGTCTGTGTAAGTGTGGATGTCTGGAGCATATTACCCCTGAAAAGTACACTAAAAAGATTATGTAAATGCCTTGATACTGCTTTGTGATTAGTAAAGTGTGATGATTGTTATGAGCACAGTGGGACTAAGTATAAGCATCTGGAACTTAAGGAATGTGAGACATCATTGATTGAGCTGACTAAAACTAACCCATGCTTAGGATACAGGAACAGATATCTGAATGCTCTCGTGCATTGGACAACTGGTTATGCCCGTTAAATCCACTGTTCAGATACCCTCTTCCCTTTTTTTGTATGAGGATCCCAGAATGAAAGAATCTGCTACAATCTCCAAGGGAGACTTTTTTTTGAAGAGGAAGAACAGCACAAATACTGTTTTCTTCACTTTAAAAGTTTTAATACGAATGTTACATTTGAGCCACTGGGATGACAGATGTCAGGAATTCAGTGAGTTAATAAGATCTCTAACCTCTAGAGGAGTAAATCTCCTTAATCCTGAACAGCCTTTTTTGCTAACATGTTTTTTTTCTTTTCCTATAGAGGGTTTATGCTGATACAGGCTTCCCCACCACTTCGCCCCCACCCCATAGGTGATCTAATAAAATTAAGCTTCCAAGCCACTGTTTTGCCAAGTATACTAGAGGTTTTTACTTTGTAAGACTCTGCTGAAATCCTTCTTTATCTTTGGCTCCTTTGCTCCCTGGCGAGTGGCTGCTGCTGTGGAGATTGGAGTGCTGCCAGCACAGCTTCAAAGCACCAGATGCAGTGCAGGATTCATTCAACATTAAATTCCTGTTTAGAGCACTGGAAACCCCCATGGGAGAGCTACAATTGTCCGTACATTTTGTAGATCTTGTATTAATGGACTTTTAGCAAACAATCCATTCGTTCCCAGTATGTTCAAGATTTTATACCCTCTGTCTAGAAATCTGTAAGGTAAAGATGATTTAGAGAATCCTATTGTACACAAAAGGTACAAAAAGCAATCCTCTTTACATTGAGTATGCAAGCTAAAGCTTTGAGCCTTCATCAGACATTGGCAGTCTTTGTGAGTGCTAAATATCTGCAAGGTCAGTATTACAGTGCTCTTAACTGATTTGTCTTCTGTATTGCTCATCTTGCAGTTATTTGCAAAATTTTGACTTTGAGTGTGGTCCTCATGTAACCAAGAATGAACATGAAGTCTTAGCTGGGAATTTGGAGTCTGTGGTGGCCACCTGTTCACTTGAATTGTCTCACAGCTATATGCTAAGGTTTCTTAAGCAGCAAAACTGAGGCAGCCTTAAGTAGAGGCAGCCCTGCTGCATGTTTTCATCATTGTTGTTAGTACAAACATTTTTTAAACTGCATGTTGAACCAAATCAGTTCCAAGATTTTATCAATGCAAACCTAATAACAAGACAACATATCAGTCCCCCCTCTAGTTCATTGTATATGTGCATGAGCAATCCTGGAAGTACAAGGGATCAGAATGGATCAGATTCATGATCGGATCATGAATAATCTGTCTTGTAATCTCTGCCTTCCTAGAGAAAAGGATAGCTAGTCATCACTGCTTTTTGTTGTGGTGTTCAGTCTTACTTAATACCTGACATCTGCCTTTCCTATGCTTTAAACCTTCTGTTTCCTCTCATAACCCTTTGTAAAAGTATATGATTTCCCCTTTTACTTCCACACCTCATTCCTCTGTCCTCTTTCTTTAGTCAAGCTACTGGGAAGGAAGTTTTCCCAAACTCTTCTCTCTACTATACACACACTATATATAGTAATACCTCAGTTTCTTCTACCAAACCTGTACTGCTCGGTTATCTTGCTGCCTCCTGCTGACTTACACGTACGCACAAAAAACTTTCCAACTTACTCTGTCCTTGCCTCCTAAAGGAGTAATAATTTACAAAATATTAATTTTTTTCAGTTGTCTAATTGTTAGCTGGTTTAATTGGGACAGTTGAAAGACAATCTGCACTTCATCGCTGAGGGTGATACTTGCCTCCAGGCATAAACACGTGTTGGCTCTGGAAACTCATGAGTCCTTTGGATTTCAAGACTGTAGAACTGTCTATATCTCATTGAGTTTGTAGTGAGAAACTCCAGTCTGTGTTAAAGGAACCAGCTAGGAGTCTTAGTTCTTGTTATCTGATGAAGCCCCAGCAGCGCTAACCTTTTTTTCAGGATTTGGAGAAGCACCTCTAGGCAGATCCTTTTTGCTGCTTCACTTGGCCTCATTGAGACTAAATTAAAATGCTTTCCCTGAAAGCTGCAATGGGGCCATTTACATTGAGACTTAGTCTTTTGTAAGAGTCAGGCTTAATTGCGTTGAAATTAAGTAAAATGTCCTGTTGGTGTAATAAACTCTTGATGTTGGAAGTGAGAAGGACGCTTCTAAGTTATTTGCTTACTTTGTTTTTGTTATTAATTTGCAGTGGATATGACTTTGGCTATCTAATCAAAATCCTGACAAACTCTAATTTACCTGAAGAAGAGCTGGACTTCTTTGAGATACTGCGATTGTTTTTCCCTGTCATCTATGATGTAAAATATCTTATGAAGAGTTGCAAAAATCTGAAGGTAAGTAATCTGTTAATGGCTCAGAACAGATTTTGGTTTTGGAGAGAGAGTACTTTCTGCTAAAAAATACTTTTTTTCTGTATTTTTATTTTCTGGTTTTGCTTTGATAATACCCATTAAACAGCCTTGTTGTCTCAAACTTTATACATTTAATATTAAAGGCTATTGATAGAGGCAGGCAGGAGCACACATCGATTTTTTTATAACTGCTTACCAGTTTAAAACAGCATGTTGATACTGTAATTTATAGTGCCTAGTTTTTGTTGACAGATTATAAACCCATGTTTGGAATTGATCCTTCACTTCTTGAGCCATAAGAATTGATGGGTTTCATATACTCTTATTTCCTCATTGTGCAGTCCACTAAAGGACTGCAGTCGTCTTGGCAAAGGTAATTGCAACGATGATGCTGTGGAAGTGTCTTGGGAAGAGGAATGGAGCGAAGAATGTTTCAGATGGCCTCATAAGGAAAGATAAACAACAGCATATGTTCAGGGACAACATGTGACTTCTAGAAAAAAATGCAGTACTAGAAACTAATGTCAGGCCAGCGGGGTTACTAATTGGCTTGCTCTATCAGGCATAAAATTTGGATACTTTATTGGACTGGAGAATGAATGGAAACTGGAACTAAGTATGTGAAAGGGAAGACAGCAAGTGAAAGAAAGATGCTACAGGGATTGTTAACAGCTTTGCTTGCCAAAGAACTGTAAGAGTCTGGACTGCTGCTGGAATGGGGTGCATCACTCACCTGAGGCAATTAATGACTTGCTACTTTTATGGAAAGTAACTCGATTCTCTAGGCTTTCTTAATTGGAACCTGCAGGAAAAAGAGAACACTGACTGTAGTACAACCAAATCCTGACTAAGGGATGGCTCGCTACTTCGTCATGCTGAACTAGTGATCTTTGTGGGGTTTACAGTCCTCTGTTTCTTTCTGAGATAAACTAATAGAGTGTGTCACTTTCAAGAAGCAGCCTACTTGTGTGGGAAGTGTGTAAATCCTTTTGTGGATCAAATTAATGTTGAAAATTGAGACCTCCCTTGCCATTAGTAAGAAAAGTATACCTACGTGTGTTCATCTAGAGTTGTTGTTGGTATAATTAGTGGGACAAATAGCTGAGTATTATAGAACATCTTAGAAACAGTTTTTCTCCACAGAGGCCAGAAGAAAAAAATGAAATGTTTGTAAACTGCAGGAATCTTAAAGGAGTGGCAGGGGGGAACCCCAAACAAAAACCGCCCTTACATTCTCACTCCTGGTGAAGCAAAGTAAAGCATCTGGTGTCTTGGTGGTGGTGAGATGCTTACCAAGAACAGGATGGATAATCCAACTTCAGTGATGTAGGAAAGGTGACAGAATGACATTCTGTGTCACCATTCCAGAGGTGACATTTCCACGGGGTTTGGGGAGGAGGGGATTGTATTTCCTGTCATTTCATTAAAACATAGTTGTGTGTAACCTGCGTTGTTTAGAGACACTGATATCTTTTGGAAGACAAGAAAAACCTTCACAGGTCTTATTTCAGCAAACCTTAAGAACAAGGGTGATTTTTATCAGAGCTGAATATGTGGGTCAGTTTTCCTGCAGTAAATCTTGATCCTGTCACCTAACCTGCAGACTGGTAATGATAGCAGGGTAAGGCATGTGGGCTACCCTACCCCTCCGAATTTACCAGCAATGAAATGGCGGTCGACTTGTACTGTACTGAGAGCAGCTGTCTGAAACAAATTGCTAAACATTGTGTTGCAACTCTAAAAATGCATGCGCTGTCTTCTAATGTCTGTCACTTACGATCTCTATTAAATTGCAGTGAATTGAACTGCTGTGCAGTTGTCCTTTATTGACTTGTGTAAGTTATTTTTCATATTAAAGTCACTGACTCGCTGTAGGTCCCCCACTCCCTGCCCCCACACACCCAAAAGAGAATTTTTGGCATTGAGAAGAGAAATGTGCTTCAGGATCGGGAAGCTGTTTGGTGGTCTTTTTGTGGAATGAAGTAATCTGTGAATTTACAGTATGTTATACTAACTTAAATGGACACGAATGTACTTTACTGGCATGCAGATTGGGAATTAACTTGAGATATTAATGTAGTGTAGGTTAAACTCTTGTTCTCTAAAAATCTTTCTATGTAGATCCTTCCAAACCTTTTGATAGTAATGGCAACTCTAAGTAATGTAGATTTATAGACTTTGTTGGAAACTTGCTTTTAATATGGCGGTTTGTACAGAACAATGAACCTTAGTACCAGTGCCATGAAACGAGAGTTTGAACTGGATTTGCTGTTGACTATGGTCATGTGATTATGTAAATCGTTCTGTGGCCTTTTTCTTGAAAGACCGACACTCTGAAAATTTGGGAAGAATTTGTCCTCCTCCAAGTGCAAAATGTTCTTATCTGGAGTGCAAAAGTCTTGCCTGAAAGAGAATCTCAATAGCCTATTGATTTTCAGAGACAGCCAAATTTTATTCTGTAATTATTTCAGTTATAGACCAAGAAGTTCCATGCAAAAGTGGTGTGATGTATTTACAAATAGATATATACCATTAAAAGCACTATTTTCAAAGCATTCTTCTGTAGGCTGCTGTTATTGTGAATTTTGAATGACTGAGTCTACATTCCAGAGCTTGCAGCTGCTGTGTAAATATTACTGGTTTTTATTCTTGAGTGTTTTTTCTTCGAAGTAATTTGAAGCTAGAGTAAATAGGCTTACAGCTGCCAGAACCTGATGATGAGGCACTGCTAATTCACAGCTTGAGGAGGAAGTAGAGGGTTTAGGAGCAGAAAGTGGTTCCTTGAAAGTGTATGGGCCTAACTCCTGTTGCTGACTCTAACAGCTCGTTATTGGAGTTAGAAAGTGGAGAGGATGCTTGTGTCGGAGTCGTACTTTTTTTCCCCTGCCCACCAACCCTCTGCACGTTTTTGAGAGCATAAGTTAAATAACTGAGTGTATTTGCAGTGTTCAAATGTTCTATCCGAGCACATAAAGAAAACAAGCTAGCTTTGGTGCTTAACTTTGTCATGTATAGTCTTAACTCTTATCTTAAACTTCTTAAATTATATTTGTGCTGCTCAAGCTAGAATAAAACTAGCCATACTAGGTTTTCAAGTTGGTTTGTAGGCGTTGGTTGGGAACGTTATTACTGAAGTTTCCATCTTTTTAAACAAAAACCCATTGCCATAAGATTCACAAGAATTTTCATAATGTTTGATCTGATTTTTAGGTCAGACTTTATTGTTCTGTGAGTTGTAACTTTGACCGTTATGCTTTGGCCTCTTACTGCTTCCCTTCCTGTACTTGTACAGGTTAAGAGCGCAAGGAAAGGTAAACTCAGATACTAGGCAGTCTTTTCTTTAAAAGCATTGCCTCTCTGCAATATTTTTGCCTTGCAAAGCTTATGGCAGCACTAAAAAAATAATCTTTTTTTTTTTTTTTAATCTTTAGACCTTAAAGAATGTGCATGTGCTTTAGTCTATTTCGAGTAGCTTTATGGCTTAATGAATAAAAAAAGTACAGTTATGTGCTCACAGTGTAGCTTATAGCTTTAACAGATTGCAGTTACAGTATAACATGTCTATACTTCAACTGATCTGTTATCTATGTAAAACCAAATCAATTTCTGATGGGTTTGCTTCCACATGTAGTGGTTATTACTATTTTGGGGGCACTAAAAAGGTTTATTTAATCACTCTGAAGTTAAGGGGATAGTTTTTCACGTAAGCTTACTGGCTTAAAAAAAAATTGTTTCAAAACTGGAAGAGTTTTACCTTTAGGAGCAGATAGGTTTGCAGCTTTCAGGTGATGCCTACAGCTTCACAGTTGTCCTTTTAAACCATGCGTCAACATTCAAAGCAGACACTGTTTTAAATTGTTTCCTTTTTGTGAGATGCTTATATGCTCTTTTAAGACGTAGGTTTCATTACACATGTGACTATTAAATATGTACCTCTAACAGAAGAGCTGGCTATACTATTGGCTTTTAGTGTCTTGGAAAAGTAGTTGCAAGGCAATGGATTTATTTTTTTTTTTTTTTGCATGTTGTTTTTCCTTTCCTTTTATGGCAGCTGATGAAACAAACTAAAGAGCAGTAGAATGTCTTGTAGAGGTGGAGTGGGCACTTTCTTCCTTTTTTGACTTTACCACCTGGTTTCTAAATGCCTGCTGTGTAACGTTTTCCTGGAGTCCCTGTAGTGTTCTAGATACTTAACGATACTTTTGGTTTTTGTGAAGGGCGGTGGAAAAACCCTCAACTTAATTGTTGAAAGGTAAGTGGAAAGAAAAAGGTCTGTTTCAAAGGAAGCCTAGGTACTTTAATGCATGAAGTTTATATGGGCACCTCATTTGTTAGCACTTGAATTCTTGTGTTTGTAGAACAATGTTTTTACCTTTTAAACTTTCATTTGAATAGAAGGTGTACAGGAACACCTGGTTTTGTTCTGCAGCATTGCCAGTCCTTTCAACATCTTGAAGGAATAGTTTTGTTAAATAAATACATGGGGTTGCTGGAGAAGCTGGAACATGAATGTGTAATAGTTTTGTTGGTCACAGATACTGCTTTATTTAATCAATACTGACACAGAATTTTAATGCTGCTCTTGATACTGAAAGTTTGATTCTCCAAGTGTGTATTTATCTAGTATGACTGTTTCAGCTACTGTGGAAACATTAAAATGTACTTAGTCATACGACTTGTGTAACAGACTTTCCCAAATGTAACTTCGGTTTTTTTGGTTTAATTTTTTTCAGCAGTTAACAAAAATGTTTTCTTTTTCAGGGTGGATTACAAGAAGTGGCTGAGCAGTTAGAGCTGGAAAGGATAGGACCACAGCATCAGGCAGGATCTGATTCTTTACTCACAGGAATGGCCTTTTTCAAAATGAGAGAAGTAGGTGGACGTACTGGTTTTATCTCCATGGTAGTAACATGCTGTGATAGTCAGATGGAATTGCTGATAAGTCTGCCATATTTTAAGGAGGTCTCTGAAGGACTTCAGGGGTCACTTCTTTCTTGACAAAAATAAGACCACCTGTATTTTCCCCAGAGCGTGAACCAGCTATATTGATTCCCTGCTTAGCTGCTGTGAGTGAGTTTTGCTTCCTGATTCCAGCCTGTGTCCAGCTTTTGGATTTTTTTGTGGGGTTTTTTCCTTCCCAGTTTTGCAAGGTACCTTTTTTTTAGGTGGCTGCTGTAGTGAGTTACGAGCTGCCGGAACCAAACTGATTTCTGGGTGGCCATACTCAAGCCAATTTTTTTAGAGCTTCTGCTCAGCGTAGTACCCAGCTGGTGTGTGCCTCTGCTTGTGCCAGGGCTGGAAGAGTGTCTGGACTAGCCACTTCTAGCTAAACTTGCAGGCTACAGGTATATTAAACAATGACTTTCAGGCTGCTGTGGAGAATGTCCATGCATTTGTTCCTTACCTTTGGGTACAGTGTAGGTTAACTCAGGTTCTAAAAATTAGATGTCGGTCAGTTCAAGGTTTGCAGCAAGGGAAAATTAGGTCTTACAAGTATCCTTCACGTATCCTTGCTGTTTGCCTGCATACAATAGGAAGACATTAGGATATTTTGCATTAGCAGAACAAACAAATATCAAAGGGGCCTCTTCTGGAAAGCAGTTGCACTGGTCAAATGCCAGTGCATCTGAACATGGCATTCTGCCAGCAATTCAGTGTTGTTTACCATGTCAAAATGGACAGCAATGGCAAACCTCATCTCTTAATAAGGTTTAGTATTGTATGCTGAGGTGTCTACCTTCTGTAATCCAGCCCTTTGTATAAAGGAGAAAATGACCATGAGTTTCTGACAAATACTGGTGAGACAGCAGGTGAAAAATAAATGCTGTCATTTAAGCTGGTTTGCTCATCGTAACACTCTGTTCTGCCTCTGCTGGAACTGTTGCAGTTTTTGAGCAGGTTGTGGGCTACAGATGAAATAGAGAGGATTGTGTTTCTGGTATGGTCCAAGTCCAGAGCTGCTAACTGCCATCTGCCTGGTATTGTTAATCTTTCACTCTTGAATTTGAAACAAAATCTAAAGCAAATAAAGGGAACGAGGTCTAATAGAATCATAGAATCACGTGGTTGGAAAAGACCTTTAAGATCATTGAGCCCGACCGTACTTGTCCACTACTAAACCATGTCTCTAAGTTACCTCATCTACTCATCTTTTAAATACCTCCAGGGACGGTGACTTGACTGCTTCCCTGGGCAACCTTTTCCAGTGCCTGATAACCCTTACAGTGAAGAAATTTTTCCTAATATCTAATCTAAACCTCCCCTGGCAAAACTTGAGGCCATTTCCTCTGGTCCTATAGATAGGAAGTAGATGATAATCATGCCTAAGATCCTGCTTTTCAAGTTAATTTTCTAGAGGAAAATGTTCAAACCCATGATCATTTCTCCAATGAGATGCAGTTGTGTAACATGGCAAATTAGCTTCTTGAATTTGTTTACCAAAAGCTCTTATTGGGAATAGAAATCTGTTGAGTTTTTTTAGTGCAAAGCATTTGCTTAATTAAGCCAACAAAGATGAATTCAATTATGATGATTTTTTTTCAGTATTTTCAGAGATTCTTTGCAAATTCATCATTTCTAAATAAGGACACAGTAATCAGCAGAGAGAAATATATTTAATGTGCATTTTTAAAGCCTTTTCAGTAGAGTTCATTATTTAGGAATGTATTTGAGTGAAAAAACTTCACTTTATGATGCTTTTAGAGGTACAAAATTAAGAGACGTGTTACAACTGTGTTACTAATGGTTATGAAAGAGTTGGAACTTTCTGGGATTTTGAGTCCCAACCAAAAAAGTTACTGATGTTTTTCTTCCCGTCAGAAATACTTAAACACTGATACTACAGTAGAGCTGCAATTTTGGGGGTTTCTTACCTGTTTATTTCTTTAAGAACTGCTGGGGCTTTAAAACTTACAACTGAGGTCTTCAATTCCTGCAGTACAGAGCTTTGCATCCAGACTCTGCTGCTAAGAGCAAAACTTAAAGGAAGAGGTTCTCAGCCTGTGTGGTATATGCACTCCTCTGCATTTAGGTTGTGTATTATATCTGCCCTGCTCCTGCATGCTTCTGGCTGCCTTAGATTTCTGATGATGATGACTCAAAATGTCAACCACTGGGATGTGGTTTTTATGTATGTGTGTCATCTTTTTTTGGGGGGAGGTGGGGTGGGTGAATTTGTGTTGTTGCTTTAAAACCTGAGTCTGAAAGGTAGAATATCAGAATATCGTGGGGTTTTGTATGTCTTCCACTGAAAGGTCCCGTTTGCAATTAAGACTTGTAAGGTGTAAATGCAGTTTTAGTACAAAATTACCTTAATTTTGCTGTTCCTTTTAAAATGAAGTCCCCCTCTGTGAGGAGCTAGCTGGAAATGCACCTTCCTGCATTTCTCTAAGCTCCATAATGGGTTGTCTGCTCAAACATTCTCCCTGCCCCCAAACCTTTATAGTATAAATCAGGACATAGCTCCATTTCAAGATGAAAACCCTCACAGTGGGAAGTAGGTAGAGTACGGGCACCGATGATGGATGTGAAGCATATGCCTGCTGTGAGAAACTTAACAGAAATCAGTTGGAGAAGGATCTTTGTTGTACTTGCAGAAGAGGGAGTGATAACTGGTAACACAAAATTATCAAAACATTGCATTTGGCCATTTCATCAAGAAAGGTGCACAGGAAGACTGATTATATTCCTCAACAGATTTACTTCAAAGAATCATGTCATATAGCACATTTTTGTAATGTGTTGAGATTAAGTGTGTTATGTCAATTGTATCATCTTTTGCACCTTGGGATTTGATATCTTATGCTAAAAAGAAAGTAACCTTTTAAAGCCTTTCTATAGTTCTATTTAACCTGAGCCTTTTCTTTGGCAATAATTTGTGTCTCTCTTAACTCTTCAGATGTTCTTTGAAGATCACATTGACGATGCCAAATATTGTGGCCATTTATACGGTCTTGGTTCGGGGTCATCTTATGTACAAAATGGCACAGGAAATGCATATGAAGAAGAAGCCAACAAACAGTCATGACATGAAATGAAAGGCCACCTTTTTGACCTCCAAAAGCTTGTATATAGGTTTTATCTCTGCGTGAATCCCTTGGACAATAAGGCTTTTTCTCCCCCTTTCTCAGCACACTTTCTTTTCTGCCTTTCTATGTACTAAACTTGACTGTTCTATCACAGATTTTGATCTGAATATTGATATGTAAAATTTTCTGGATTACATTTTGGCCTCATAACTAGCCCGTTTGTAAAGAAGCATGTATAGGATCAGTGTGGCACAGAGAAGGGGAAAGTTAAATCATAATGAATCGTCTGGTAAACTTACCTAGATTGATCTTCTAGTTTTTTGTCTCTTTTCCCTCCCTTCTCCAAATTAACTGGCACTGATTGTAACTAACTTCCATATTCATGTCTGTTCCTTCCAGTATGCAGGCGTTTTAGCTATTCAAGATTGTGGACCATCAAATTTGCACTTTAGAGAGCAACTCTGACTCAGATCCTCTGTTTTATTTGAAGTTTGTTTTTTTTTCTTTTGCCCTTAGCTAGAAAACAATCATCTGCCAAGTTCAGCAGCTTCACACTGTATTTCCTTGGTATCTCAGCCCACAAAACGTGACTTATTTGCTGCATAACCTCTGTTTGTTCAAGCAAAACAAACTACTGAAATCATAGTAACTGCTGTTATTTCACTGGTGTTCAGTCATCTTCAAACACATCCTGCACATGTCAACTGCTGGTTGGCCTGCTGCTTTAAAACCGCTCTGTGATGGGGGAAAGAAGCTTGAAAAAACAGCTTTACACCCTTCAGGAAAAGAACAGCTATGACTTTAGCATTTTTGCCATTAAGCTGAGAGTTGAAGGATGTTGGAATAGCAGGAGTTTTGTAATGGCACACTTCCTTTGATTAACTTCCTAGCTTTTATTCTAGTAATGTACACCTCAGATATTTTTTATGGAGTCATATTTATTATGTACTTGATTTGATGATTTTTGAAAGTCAGTTTTGTTGAAGATAAAACCCAAAGATCTGAAAAAATACTATTTAATTGAATGATTGAATTAGAAGGACAATTAAATCGTGCTTTTTTGTAGTTGCTACAAAGACAGATGTTGCAGATATTTGTTGTAAAACAACAAAATATGATTAACTTATAGCTAATAAAGTTACCTGAGGAGTGTAATGCTAGTTTATTTTTGAGTATATCTTAGCAATATATTTTAGATATACTGTTTTAAAGGACCCTAAAGTACGTTCTTAACTCTGCATAGCATATGTACGGAGCAGTTGTGCAGGAAGGATTTTTTGGTATTGAATAGCTAAATACTAGCCTGAAATGATGGAATGTGCGACATCGTGTGCCTCTGTGTGTGCACGCGCGTATGTGCATGCGTGTTCGACACGGAAATCAATAGTAGAAAAATCTCCAAATGTTCGCCAAATTACTGTTTTACCTTGTACTTAAAAAAATCAAACAGCTTTTTTTCATTGAGTTACGATGATGTAACTGGGTGGTCCTTTTTAAACAACAAGTAATTTGCATAACAGAGGGTATTTGTTTTTAAAGCTTTTGTAAATAAAGGCCTAAGAAATGTTTTCTTACATAACAACAGACTGGTGGTTTTGTTGCAAAATTTTTCCCGGAATGTGTGTATTTAGTTAGTTCAGTTCTGTATTCTGTTTTGTTTAGGCATGATAGTTCTCTTCCGTGTGCTTATAAAGTGATCCTGACTGATGCCACTTTCAGAGCAGAACTGTGTTCGTGGGTTTCCAAGTACTTCATTCCTACTGACCTGAATTGCAAGAGTGGTGATTACAATTTACTACTGAGGCATCCAAATCCCATTAGTTATTTGTTTTAATACCATTATGCGTTAGGTGATGGTGACTTGTTTTAACTTTGGCTTTAATAAGATAGGGACTCTCTAATGGGAAAATCCTTCCTGTGGCATCAATCTGTGTCTTTTCACACTTGAACTGTAGGCTTACATGGACAATTTGCACGCATGTGGAGTGAAGAACCCCTGAAGTTTGATGCATTTGCTTTAAAGTTCGGTAGCTTTGCCTGAAGCATACAGATACAGCTATATCTGTGGTTAACTTTTGAAGGGAACGACTCTTCGAAGAACTTTGATGGGTTTTTTGTTTTGAAGTAACTCTTAGTTGTGGATCAAAGGAATTTTTTAGAGGCCTCTAAATGTGTGCCTGCAATAAAAGTTTTAGTTCAGACTGGGATGCGCTTTTGAAGTGACTGCTGAGCATCCCATATGCTGTGTGCCATGCTTTGCTTTGCTTCCCATCCTGAACCTACCAGAGCTTGGACTCCTCTTGGAAGAAGCTAAACCCAAAGATGTACCACAGGTGGGCGTCTTGTCTTTTAGCTGCTAATGAGCACGCAGTCTGCAGGATGAGGCTCAGTTGGCTTAAGCCCTAGCCTAAAACTCTCATGGGGCATTTGACTTTAAGCATTTCTGCTCTTTAGTTTTCTTTCTGCAAGAAAACCTTCTCTTGAAAGCCACCGATCATCATACAGCTACGATTATGCTTTATTCTGTGCGAGAACTCTTGGTCTGATCAGTGTGATCTGTCTGAGAGTTGATTACAGCTGGGGAGACATCTGTGCATCATTCAGTTTGCTTGGCAAAATTAGATTTAGTTTCCATTGAGGAGTGATTTAAATGGTGAACTGTAGAGATTATGAAAAAACCAATTTCTTCTTATGTGTAGGACCGTTACTTGTAAACTGCAGAGCCTGAAATCTGAATCTGTTTTCAAAGTGGACAGCTTTAATTGCTTTTGCAAAAATAAATGTGCAGGCACAGTTCCAGCTGTCTAGACATGCAACTTTTCGTTCAGAGACAAGAATTCTCTTTCCATTTAAAAATATATTGTAATTTGAGTACGTTTGTCAGAAGAAATGCAGTATCAAAAACTGTTATATTTGATCTTTTTTTAATTCACTTGTATTTTTGGTTTCTGGAGTCAGATGACTGTTCCAGGAATATTACGTTCTCTGACACTTCTTTTATTTTTTAATTTTTTTTAAGCATTTAATCCCTTTGCTCATTGAAACTAGGCAAGAAGGATCTTTGAGCCAGGAGAAAATAGGTCTGGAACATATTCAGAGTATTTCAGGCTTTTTCCCCATATGAACTTGGCGATGACCTATAACCTCTGACATCCAAGAACTTTGTCTACTCGTATCTGACTGCTTACTCCAAGCTCAAGAATGGCTCATTCCCTCACACAGGAAATCAAGCAGAAGTAGCAGGAAGCCTGCATGGATGAACAAGGAACTTCTGAATACACTCAGACATAGAAAGGAAGTGTACAAAAGGTGGAAGCAGGGACAGGTGACACTGCCTTAAGTGTGTAGGTGTTGGGTTAAGAAAGCCAGTCTATCTGGAGTTGAATCTGGTGAGGGACATCAAGAGCAAAGAAAGATAAGAGAAAATGTGAGACCACTGCCGAATGGGGACAGGAGACCTAGTGACAAAGGATGTGGAAAAGCCAAGGTACTCAATGCCTTCTTTGGTTTGGATTTTACTCTTTAAGACTTGCCTTCAGGAATCTCAGGTCCCTGACATGCCTAGGAAAGTCTGGAGCAAGGAAGACGTGTAGGAGGGTCAGGTTAGGAAGATATAAACAAATTGCACGTAACGAAGTTCATAGGACCTGATAGGATGCACCCACAAGTGCTGAGGGAGCTGACTGGTGTCATTGTGAGGCCGTTCTTGTTACCTTTGAAAGGTTGTGGTGATAAGGGTAGTTTCCTGAGGAGTGGAAGAGAACAGATGTCACTCTCACCTTCAAGAAGGGCAAGGAGGACACAGGGAACTGCAGGCCGGTCAACCTCACCTCTATCCCTGGGAGGGAGATGGAGCAGATAATCCTAGAAACCATTTCCAAACACAGAATGGATAAGAAGGTGTTTGGAAGTAGTCATCCTGGATTTATGAAGGGGAAATAATTTCTGACCAGCTTGCTGTATCTTACCCTCCTTTGAGCAGGTATATTGGACTAGATGACTACCACAGGTCCCTTCCAGGGCTGACTCCTCTATGATAGCAGAGCATGCTTACGTAGGCTGCACTGGATCCTTGGATCTGAAATTGGTGAGGTATGAGTATGGGTGTTTTGCACCCACAAGGTACGTACGCTTACTGGTCACCCAGAGGACAGTCCATGCAGTGATGACTGAGTGGTTGCTTCGCGTTGCATAGTGTGGCCTGGAAGACATAACTCGTGCAGACGACCTGGTTTGTTTAAGGTCCATGCTTTGCCACCTTATGTAGGCTTTTGCTCTTGCAATGTTGTGTTTTGCTGAAAGAACAGAGATGTGGTTGGTTCCGCTTTCAGGTAATTGGGCATGTTAAGCTCTTGGAGCAGAAGGTGACAGTGTGCCTCGGGGAGTTAGTTGTTCTCCATCTGGTTTTCTTTAATTTAAAATTACCGTATCAAAGGTAGTGCTTGTAGTGCTTGAAATGTGGGAGCCTAAACAATTGCAGAGAGTGCACAGTGGGTCTGAGTAACGTCTGAAGAGGGTGCTTAGTCACCGTGGGAGAAGCTGTTTGATAGCAAGTATGTTTAGCTGTACATAAATCCAGTTGAGAATTATTTCTGCGGGGTTACAAGTTGTGTTTCTGTTAATTGCACAGCGCTGATGTTACTAATTTTCATGTTGGGAGAGCGACCTTAAACACTGCCTTAAGTAACAGGGTGTGCTTCAGAACCAAAGTTACAGACCCAAACCTGTCTTTTGAGGCATGCTCATCAGAAACCCCCATGGCAGATAGTATAATTTTATAGTATTTTCATTTAATCGTTCCAAGTAAAATTTCCTAGCTTGTTAAGTATTAGTGCTTAAGAAATCTTGCATTTAATCGTGTTGGCTCAATGTTCTTGAGTGGTAGTACTTGTTCAGCTCTGTAAAACACTTTTGTATAATCCTTCTTTTGCAGATGTTTAGAAAAATAAGTGAAGGGCTAACTAAATCGGCTGACAAAGTGAGCGTGTTATACTTTCTGACCAGGTTCTTCTGGATATTGCACGTGAGGAGGGCTTAATGCTTTAGCGTACTGACCTTACTTAGTTGAAGAAATCTGTTATGTGGGATTTTGATTTAGAAAAGTGATATGGCAATATATGGAAATCACAACACAAACACAACGTAGCAATTGTATATGTGGTTGATTCACAGTACAAGCATAATTCCTTTTACCAATCTCTACAGGATGCTCACCGGCACGGTGCTGGGCTATCCTGATCTCCAGGAAGGAACATGCAGGTTGAAGCCAGCTCAAGCCCCTTGCTCTCAGAGTTGATTTTGCTGGGCGTTCAGCTATGTTGGGCTGAGCCACATACACACATCCCCGTGCTGGTGTATTCTCTCAGGAAGAGAATAATTGATTATTTTAGGGAAGGCCATTTACATAAGCAGCTGACCCACCCAACTGATAGAGCTGTTTGTTCACAGCAGAGGCTGTCGCTGGTCCCCTTGGTGCCCAGATCAGTTCAGCTGCATTGCTGGCAGCTGTGGTCTTTCCTGAGCAACATGAGCTCACCATCCTTGTCTACCTGCTCCGAGCCTTCTTCCATTGAAGGGGTTCAGTCCCTGGTCGCGGAATGAAACCGTGGCTTTATAAGGCCAAATGTTGCTGGGTTTATGTATTTTAAATGTGCTACATATTAATGAAGATGCCATTCAAAGAAAGGAAAAACCCCACAAACTTCAGCCCCTGCATCTTCACCTAGGCTTCCCAAGGGTGTATCTTGTTTTGTTTTGCTGACGTGTTTTTTGGATGAGTGGGGTTTTTCCCATTTTCTCAAGCGTCATTTTTACTTGAGAATATGTTTCTGTGTCCTCTGTTCTAAACTCCCAGTTGGTTTCTCAACCTTGAATTAAGTAATAACTCTCTCAAACTAGCAAGAGTGCAGTGAAAGGAAGAAGAAATTGCTTCTGTAGTGAATTGGTTTTTAGAACTGCCCTGTAAGTTTTAATATTCACATGATATTAATGGGTTTAGGATGGCATGGGTTCATTGCAGTTTATTAACTTGTAAAATAATTATTCTAAGTAGTGAATTTTTAAATAACATAGACTTCTTGAGATTTTTATTTAACACCACCAAGTCAATGATGGCAAAGTAAGTCAAAAGCCTCCAGTAGAACTGTTGGTATTTGTTTGACTACCACAAATTGTTTGTAGAGTTTGAACAAAATCTCACAAATAGCAAAACTGTTTTTACATCGAATAAAACACATAGGTTATCTCAGGGTACTTTTCCTTTCATACCACGAAGTTCTTTTTCTGGTATATCTGAACTTTAGTGTACCTTGGTTGTTTTCTTCCCTCTTGCCTGGCTGGGTATGGAAGGGCAATGAGGAAGATTCTTCTGCATTATTTTAGCAGTCTTGGGTTGGGAATGAAATGTGCTCACTGATGCCAACTGTGAAGATCTGATTTTTGCAGAGGCTCTGCTCGGCCTTTTTCTGCCAGCACAGATGAGATTTTTTTTTTTTTTTTTTTTTTTTTTTTATAAGTTGGCTAAATTTGGATAGTTGTTGGAGGGAAGGAGCCAGGGGGGGGGGAAGCCTCCCCTTCTCTGTGCATCGGGTAGAAATTGGCAACAGCTGAGCTTTTTGAGCTGCATTACAGAGAACATGCTTTATCTTTTATAGGGTAGCACATCAGAGCCGTGGTTGCAGTTGGCAGTATCTTTTATTTGCCTTTTATCATATAATAGCTAAGCTTTGCAAGCTCTCTGTTTTGCTTCACTCTTGTCCCTCTGCTTGCTCTGGTGTGTGTCTGTGATACCTATGGGGGTCGTTTACATGAAGGTTAATTGCTACTGTGCAATGTATCATCGCTAACCTACTGATTTTCTGTGTTATAGCTGTTTGAACTGCTGGCCAGTTCAATCTCTGATACAAGAAGTAACTGGAAATAGGTTCCCATTGCTCCGGCTGTAACACACAGTTTGTATACATTGTGTTTTGTCTTCATAACCAGGGTTCCTTCTTAGGTGAACTGAGAATTACTGTGTTTTCAGGAGAGGGAAAAAAAGGAAAATGACTTCATAAAACAGTGACTGTTGGGAAGTGTTGGGTCTGTTCCAGTTATGCCAATCAGTTAAACTGTGAGCATGCGGGAGGTGGGAAAGGGGCCGTGGCTCTCAGCACGCTTTTCCAACTGCTGCAGTCACACGGTTGGGCCCATCTGCTTGAGAAGATTTCGGTGATGTAGGCTGAAGCATGTCAGCAGTGCCCCAAATACTGGAAGCTACACAGATTTCAGGATGACCTAAGTTCCTGCATTTCAGTGATGGGCACCTCTAGGAAAACTTGGGAGAAATGAAGGCATTATCTATCTAGAATAAACCTTAGCAGGGAGAGGGATGAAGAGGATGTAGATCTCAATAGTACGTTTCAAAGGGAAGACTTTTCAATCTGGACTTGTGTGGGAAGGGAGGACAGAGAAGAATGATGATCAAAAATTTAAAAAAGGGAAAAATTGAAGAACTGCTGAAGGAAAGTAGGCTTTCCTTGGATTACGTCAGATGCCGCTTGCTCAGAATTTCACCCCAGAAGGCTCCTGCTTTTCCTGTCCTCTTCCCAGGTCACTGATGAACAAGTGATAGCTGCAAGTGAAGTGGCAACAAGGCCACCCCACCACCCATACAGCATAGCAGCACCTTCTTTTTTTAATCTTCTTGTTTTGGATGAGAAGGGATGTTCAGGCCCGCTGTCAGTAAAACAGAAGGTTGTGTGTCAATGACTACTGCGTATGCGCCTTGCTGAACATGAAGCATTTATTTATGTGAGCAATACATTAACAAGTGGCAAAGTTATACACTAAATTTATGTAGAAATATATTCCTCCAGCACACCTGTCACTGGAATCGGGGCACAAACTCTCAGTCCAAGTGATGCCAAACAGCTACAGCATAACCACGCACTAAACCCTACTTGCTTCCTGCAACCTTTCTGAAGTCTTGCTTGAAGACCCTGATTTTAAGTACACAAACAGTTAAATGTAATTACCAGTGTTTCATTAATTACCTGCCCACAGCTGTAGGCTACTAAAGAGCTTTCAATCTGCAACTTCTTAAACTGGACAGTTGGTATTTTTCTCTCAAGTTAAAGAATCAAAGTGCATAGCAGCAGCTGTGCCTAATTGCTCAGTGAGAGGAGCTCACCACCATCTACCTCTTAGTTTTCACAACAAAAATAGTTCTCAGTGAAGACATTGAGCGCTCCATCACCAGCACATCAACTGACAGAGAATAGGTGTGGACCACTTCTGGTGCAGACATGGACTGAATTTGTTCTAACCTACAAATTAAGGAAGCTTCTTAGGCATGGGGGGGGCTATGGTTCATATGATTGTTTACATATATACAAAATAAATTTAACTCTGTTGCCATTAGGGACTCAGGCCCATCTGAGGAGTCTAGAACTCATCCAGCTTCCAGTGAAGCTTGAAATGCAGTCATACTGCTAGACAAATATTAGGGCTATTATTTTCTTTTTAGCAAAAAAAGTAGATTAGTAACTGTACAGTAGGTAAAAAGCAGTCTTTAAAAAAAAATACAGAAATTACACAAAAGGCTGTAGTAAAGTGCCTAGCAAGAATATAAAGAACAGGAGAATCAGTGTGAGCGGACAAACACCATCGCATCCTTGCTCCCCTCACCTCTTCACAAGTTCTCCCGTGTACACTGTAACAGCATCAATGCTCAATGATAGTATGTCAAAAAGACCATTTTTCACTTCGCTATATAAAGCATTAGAGAGCTTAAAGCCAAGAATATAGTCATATCAGAAATACTACTTTGGAGCATGATTAGCTCACTTTTGTCCATACTCTATACAGGGGGGATGGCCAGGAGCCCTCAAAAGCTTGCTGACGGTGCTCTTCACAGAGGCAGAGCTCATTATCCATCCTGGGAGCAGGTGTAGCTGGAGCCCTCTGGCTCAGATCTGCTAACCATTTTTACCTCTGAGCTACCCGCATGTCTTGTTCCCCATCTCCTCCCTTCATCAGCATGCATTTCCCACACCTCCATCAGTTTTCTGCTAGAGGGACAGCCTCTGGCCCCATCAAAGCTGCAGATTATCTAGGGCTATTGTGGTTTCCAAAGTGTGACTCCTGAGACATGGAGAAGCCAGGCATTTCCTGATCCCTTATCCCTGCCGTTTCTCTACATTGACCGCCAGCCTTACTGAGAGCTCTCAGAGCCCTGGACAGCGTCAGGGAGGCCGACGTCTGTGAGAAAGAGCTCCACTTCCATTACAAGTTTTGCTAGGGAAGAAACCTGTACTTTGTACGTAAACATATGGAGCAACTTACACTGAAGCTGAATTTCAACTTTTTACTCAGTATTTTCAAATGCATGCTCCATGACAAACCACCCTGTGACGAACTGTGTAAAAAAACCCAAGGCTATACAGATAGAGAACCTGAAGTGTTAAAAAATATATTTTCCCTCTCCCCCTTCTCCCTTGACAAGTTAGCCTTTAAACAAACACCAACACAAGGTAAGCTGACAGAACAACACTGAATAAATAGCTGCAAAAAACTTTTGGTTGCTAGATGTTTGCAGGCATCATGTAAACTGTATGCTACCTTCATGCTAGTTTAAAAAAGGTTTTCTACATCAAGGGATCCATACTCCGGCACTTCTGGCAAGAAACATGTTTTCAGGCTGGTAAAATTTTGAGGATGAAAAGAAAAAAAGTAAAGTAAATACATTTTCCCTCACTAGAAAAAAAGCCACATTTGTGCTCCAACAGCTACACTTAAGTTCTAAACTGAAGACAAATTTTAAAGTTACCTGCCTGTAGAAGAATTAATTATAAGATTTTTGCTTTCAGAAGTCTGTCGCTTAGTCCTGCTGCCAGTTTTCTAAATAAATAACTGGCATCTTTGCATTGTGAACCAACCTGCTAAGTGACTCAGGTTTGATAACAGAAGTACTTTTCTGCTTCAACTGAACTCAGCTTATTCTGAGAGGTTTTCACTTTTTTTTTTTTTTGGACTACTCTCTTTATTTAGCCACCTAGAAAGCATAACTAAGTTCCTCCTAAAGTTGTTTTCAGAATAACAATTTGCATTTAAATGTAAACACTGATACCATAAATGTGGTGTATACAAAAGGCACAAGACAATTAGATTTGTGTTGCTGAGACTTCCTTGACTTTGAAAGTTGATAATGCATCTTTTATTATCTGGCCGGTAAACTCTGATCCTAAGGAAGCTGCTGACTCCTAACTTAACTGAGGGGGGTTTCCTACGTGCAGCAGCTTGGCTTTTTGGTATTGCAAACGTCTGTTGTCCTGTAAATGCAAATATCAGAAGTTATAACAGTAAGTCTCCTTGATTGTACATTATATTCATTAAGTTATGCAGTAATAAAGGCAGTGTCTTAAAGAACAAGTGAAAAAAGAAATAGGAGACAACTCTTGATTAATAAGAAACTAGGATTTTGAAAGACTGTGGCCCTCAGGAACACAGGTTGGTGGAAAGCCTTTTGGATCAAAGTTAAGTGCTGGCATTCATTTCCCAGAGGGGATAATGGCTCCAAATAGAACAATAAAATCCCCATTTCATAGCACTGTCCTGTGCAGGTCCCATCAAAATCCCTGGCTGGCCAGCTTCATTTATGTATCATCCATCTGAATGCAGGCCTTTTATCCCTCCACTTACCAGTGACCCACCGTAGCATTCCATTAACAAAGGAGTTTTTTACCCCCCTCCACGACTTTTTAAACTATTGGTAGTGCATGTCTGAGGGAAAACAATGCCTTTGCCGTAATGTTTTCAAAAAATGTTCCAAAAATAGCCAGACACTTCACTTGGGTTTCCTTATCTTCCCAAATGGCTCATCAAGCGCTCAAAAGAAAATACAGTCCACCAAGCCACTACGTTACTTGTACTCAACACTGGCTGTTCTCCCAATTCGCAAAGCCAGTAGCGCAAAAATTTGATTTTAAAATCAACTACTTAGAGCAATTTGAATTAACAGGTGAATTTTCAAAACCAAGGCAAGAACACTGACTGATAGGTAAGGAGGTGACATTCTTCTTGTGCTGAATATAGAAATAAAACCAGCCATTGAATTGACTCCTTTTTTTTTTTTTTCATTTCCTAATACTCAGAATCATCCTTCACCATTCAAACCCCGTAATTTTAAGTTGAAACATTCTTTATATGGTTCAGAAGTAGTATGTTTAGTTTCGTGTTTCAAGCAGTGACATGGAGACAGCTAATCATCTGTCAGTTTGTTTTCTGAGCACATCCACAGAGGAGCAGACAGGAGCAGCTGGCCAACAGGGCTGATATTTGGAAGAATGCATCTTCCTTCCAACGACAGCTTTTTCTTGAACTGGAACAGAACACAAATCACAAATACAGTATTAGAATTGAAGAATACTTAAAAATTAAGTTATTGCACCAGGTCTCATCAACTCGAAGGGGAAAGTGAACAACAGCTGAATGAAAAACCCACCCTGAAGAGCAATGCAGTAAGTCTGTTCACAGTTATGTTATTAATCCACTTCAGGATGACAGTGATTAAAAACTGGCTACAGAGCAAGCAGGCCACCAGTTTATAAAATGAAGTGAGCTATTTTTAGAGTACTTCCAGGTACCAATATCATTAAAAAACAGTTCACTCTTACATTTGTGTAAACTATATCTGGCAGTCTCAATAATTAGTCCTCTGATTAACTATAAAGGAGTACAGGATACAGGATACTGAACATAACCTTAGTTGGGACAGAAATTCAAATTACTAACACACTGGCAGGAGCTGTAGGCTGTATTTTTCATGTCAAAGATTAAATCAGTTGGTTTTGTTGTTGTGACTTCAGCATCTTTATTAATGCATTCCCTTCACTCCCTAGGAACAGATATAACTCAAATACTGACAATAACTGAATAACATTAAATGCAAAGTAGTTCCAAAACAATAATATAAAGACTTTTTTATATGAGGGCTCTTATCCCAGCAAATGTATGTCAGCTATATATATACACACACACATGGAGCAATCTAGCTTTTTTGTTACATCTCCAGAAAGTCTTATTAAGTGCTACATCAAAATATCTCAGACAGAGCTAAGGGTACAACCAAACTGGCACTTAGGCTCATGCCAGAGAAATCATCAGTCCTTAGCTACTGCCCTTTTGAGATGTACATGCATCGGTCTGAGGCAAAACTGACTTCCAGGAGCCCCTTTAGGCAGCTTTACACTTACTCTCTGGAACATAACCTTCTCTGAAGGTGGGCTCTCCTTAAAAAGCTGCACTTCTTTTTGTGAAATTTTGAAGAAACAAAAAACACTCAAACAAACCAACCAACCCCCCCAAAATCAAGGGGGTGGGGTAATCAGACTGCAAACACAAATCTAACTGCTACTTTCTCAGACTGGACTAAAAGAAGAAAAAAAAACCAAACCAAAAACACAACCAAAAAAGAGCATGAGATCTTTATCAAGCTAAACAGCTTGAGAAAAACACTTTCAGCATCTTGAGAACAATCACAGACCATGCTTGAAATTCAGAATAATCTGAAGGACACAGTTCCAATAAAATGTACACACTGTCCCAAGAAAGTTTAAAAGTTATTACTTCGGTAAATAAAGCATTAGGACTTCTGAAAGCACAGGTCCAACTTGACAAAACTAGTTGCAATTAGTATTTCTGTAACATAATCCAAAAATCTGTTTCTTTAAAGCCCGTCTCCAATGCTTTACTTTGGAGTAGTGATGACATGTAAGACATTAAACTGAATGAAGTTGAGTAATTTATTCTTTTCCAGAAGCTGTTGTTTTGTTGAAACAACTGATGGATTAAACAGGGCAGAAGCACGTCATTTTACGTTTTGAACGGAGGGTTAGAAATTAGATTTTCAGATTCTATTAAAAGAAAACCTACACAGAGCAATCAAAATTGCAGACACCGACTGAGCTTCACTCGCTCTCCTCTAACTCTGTTCATTTGACACCCACGTTTTCAACACTTCAACACTTCACACCATCATCAAGTTTGTAGATGTACCTATATCTGGAATGCACTGTGTCTTTTCATCACTTAACAAAAAAACCAGAATGTAATGGTCAAGAATTTTCTAGTTTCTCTGATGAATCCAACTGAACTTCTGGGACCTTTTTGGTACAAGCTACAGGCCACCTGCTGCATCTGCACACCTACCATTTTTATAATCTCCCTTGGCAGTGCAGTACCATGCCTGATGGGTCTGGTAACAATCACTGCAGTTCTGTGATGGCTTTCCATGCCTTCCACTTCCTCCAGGAGTGACTGAGAGCAGCCTGACAGTGTGTCCAGGAGCCACATCACAGACAAATGACTGACACCCGCTTGAGACACTTTTTCAGGATAACTGAAAGGGTGGTCCCAATAGCAGAGATGGAAACGACCTTGCTGGAGTGACTCCTCCAATGTTGTTAGAAAATTGTAAATTATTTTATATGCTGAAATTCTTAGGGTTGGAGTCAAATTTTTTATCTGGCTTTAAATATGAACTAGTTGATTTCCATAAGCTTTGCTGGGTTTAGAAATCTTCAAATACTAAAGTGAATACGATAATCTATTATGTTCATTTCACCCCACCCAATTATTAAGGTCTCCTCCTCTTACACACATAACAGAATTTGCTAGCTGCTTCTCAATCCTGTGTTCTGAGAAGTCTGCATTGCAAGACATGCAAGAAATAAAAAAAAAAAAAAAAAATCTCAGCTGGTTTTGACAACAGGTGACTAAATGCTCAGGAAGTCATATGGACACCTTTTGTCTTCAGTAGGCAACACTTTTAAAATTATTGAACAGGATGCTCAGTACCTGGCATAGAAGAACAAGCTGCTAATAGTTTTACATATTAGAATACATCTATTTTTCTTTCATTATCTGATAGACCTTTACCTGCTTTAGTAGACCAAGCTATGATCTTTGCATTCATTGTTAAGAACTAAATTCATTTTCAAACTTCCCTTTACAAAGATCTGCTGGACAGCTTGAATAGTCACAATTTCATTATCTTTCTGGAGAAAGGGAACAATAACAGTATTTTGGAATACTACCTAAAAAGCAATGTGTATAAAGGTTAAACAATATTTTGCAAACATGACACATAAGAAATCGGAGGTTTAGTTTAAAACTGTGAATTCATGTTCTACTACCTCATGGTAAAAAAGCATTAAAGAAAAGAAAACAGATAGGAATTGCTTTAGTTTCTTCGGTGCATTCTTCAGGTGGTAAGAAATCATGGAATAGCACATTAAGTACACAGAATATTAACATACCTTTCCTTATATATTCAGATGTTTCTTTTAAGGGAAACTAGGTTTCATTTTCCATGGTTAATGCAGGATTGCTCATACCTTTGAAGACAAAAAATTATTATTTCCACAGGAAAAGGTATCATGTCTCTTTCAGCAAGTAATACAGCCTTTAGTGGTCAATCATCTTGATGTCATTCCACTACCACAGAGTCTATTCCTGTCCTGTGTCCATTACACTGCTTTTCACTAATTGCAACAAGGTGTCACATTCTGATAAAAGTAATTTGTTCCCAAAAGAATTATCAGGTTTAGCCTAAAAGATAATTAGCAACTACTAGTGTTAGTGTTCTCAGTATCTTTTGGTCAGGTTAAATTGGGAAGGGCACAGCAGCTCAATACATGGAACTTCTTAGAAACATGCATTTAAAATGAGCTTCATGAATTTTGGTTCATGAATACAAAAACCAAGTGACCTTGGTCATTTTTACCCTGTATTCTCCAAAATCAATCCCTTACCCACTTTGCCCTTTTCAGTCTTTCCACTAGTTTCTGACCAAGACAGTGTATCCGTAAGAAGGTGGCTCTGGGAATCGCGCAACGGCTTTGCAGGAAACAGGTGGTTCTCACTGTAATGCCAATAAGAACAACATTGTAGAAAATTGCAATAGTTTTTCATCATCTTACCATACATTACAGTTTGTCACATGCAGTATTTCCCCTACCTCACCTCGCTTCTGATTAATCATTACACTGTTATCATTACATACATTACACTGTAGTTGTCACAGATGCAAGCACAATCTAAAAAGCAACTCCCTAGCACAGAACAGGGAAACATTCTGATTTTTTCTTTGACAGATATTACACGTTAATACACGTACTTCAGTTCCAAGTGCACTCCATCCATACTCACTCCTACTACAACTAACCTGACACAATAAATAGTGGAGAGAACATCTCCGAAATCTCTTGCCTAATACAAGCTATGGATCACTGGGGTGAGATTTAAAGCATCGATAAACAGCTAGCTGAAACGTAATGTATTTCCTTCATGAATAAAAGATTGCCAATATGATTCCATTATAATTTCTTAGTCACATATTCAAGTCTACTATACTTATCACACACTTCATTACATAGATGTTGCTAAAGAGTTACAATATGAAATACTAAGCTATTCTATTTATTTAGTTTAAGGAACATTTCCATACTTTTCATGCTTTAAAGATGTTATGGCCGTGAAGGATAAGGGTTAAGAAAATATCTTCTATTATCAGCAGAAATAAAACATGCGCATTTAATATGCAGCTTCTTGTGCTTCAGCACAAGTGTCAAGATCTGGGATTCCCTTATGCGAAGCATCTTTTCACCAGATATGAAAAAGCAGGCCTCCCCCAAAAGCCTTGCAAGGCAATGCCTCTGTATGACAGGCAGACTGACTAACTGCCTTCTATGTATGCAGAACAGAATGTTATGGATACTGTTTAGGCAGGCGTGGAAGATTCAGGTCCTTGGATGCCACTGAACTGAGACAAACTTATTTCCATAAATTTAATTGTAAGTCTGAGGATTGGCTGAATTACAACATAGCTGTTGAAAATCTGAGCTGTATTTATTAATAGGATACTCTTCATTTGCTCACCACTGTTAAGTATCTTATACATGGTTCTATTTATGTGTGCACAGGAAAAAATAGAATTATCAACTATTTGAAATGAGTAACAAAAAGCAGATTACTTTTTGGATGTTGAATTAAGACCACCAGGAGTGGAAGCTTGTTCAGGATCCTGATTAACAAGGCAAGTTGGGAAGGAGCAACCATCCCCTAGACTAAAAAATTCAGAATTAGTGTCATACATAAAAAAAAACCACCCCAAAAACCTTTGAAGAGCTGTTTTTTCTAAAGTGAATATTACTGTGTCTCATTTCAAAAATCTAACCACCCCCCTAAGCCCTTTGGATCTTGATTATTCAACAGTTTCAACAAGTGAAGCATTAAAAACTGAGCATACCTTGAAAACACAGGCAGCAACCAGTACTTCTTCTCATCACCAAACACCTGCCTTAGGTTTTTGCTGAAGCCCAAGCTAAAGCCATTCTTGTCTGTTCTGTGACGGAATATGGGAGCTCTGAATACCTCTTAAAAGAAAAAAAAAAAAATTGATTCCTTCGCAAGATAGTATGTTTAAGTTTCATGGCAGTATTTAGGCAACTGCACTGATGATACCATCATCCAAGAGGAAAAGCTGTACTGCTCAAATGACTGAGAAAGCTGGTCCAGTTGTGAAAGCCAAAGTCAGCCTTGTGCAGTCACTGGGCGTGCAGAGAAGTCCTATGGCTAAGAAAGGGTGGAAGTCTCCCCCACCCTCCTCCCTAATCAAGGCCAGGCAGGGTGAGGAACTCCCTTTTTATGTTATATGAAGATTTCAGCATGTGACTATGCCACAGAGAGTGTTCAAGAAAAAGAAACCTAACCAAAGGGTTTACTGCAGAAAGAGTAATGGCAAAGAGGAAAAGCTTAACCCACTTCAGTAGTAAGACAGGCTTTTCACACCCTGGGGTATGAAAACATTGTGTGTTTTCACAACTGCATAACGAAAGCACTTTACTCATAGACCCAGATCATTCCCTGTGAACATCCAACCTAAATTTCTGGAGAAGAGAGCTACGTATAACTTCAAGTGTTGCAAAGTGCCTGAAGCAGAAAACTCATTTACTTTCCAGTGACTGATGGCCATTTAATTCCCTTAACTGACTACACATAGCAGGCAAACTATATCCTGATAGCACAGCTCACACAGACCATGCTGGAACCATGCAGAGATCATCCTTCTGCAGTAAATCCTTAGCTATGAACTGCTGGAAACGACCTTCCACATGTAGTATGCATTAGTTACAAAGTGTTTTAAGTAAGGGGGAAGGGAAAATAGAGATACCCTTTTAGATACCCACATTACGGTAAGAAAGCAGCTACCAGGATGATTTAAGCACAATCACACCTAAAGCTGTCATGGCTTCATTACCGAACTATGGCATGTTCAGGGTTTCACATATCAAGCAATTTCCCAAAGTAAAATGGGGAGACGACAAAAACTCATCTTTTTGAGTAGTTTAAGCGTACAGAAAACATGGTGTATTACCTGCATGGACTTCCATTTGTTTTAAAAACATGAAATAAGGAATTAGAAGTGTACCTGCATTATGGTTACCTTTGAACAAATTTTTTTTTGCACTAAAATAAGAGCAGTTTATAAACAGAATATTGAATTATTTCTGTTCATTTAAACATCATTAATAAAACTTCACTTATAACTAGATTGACCATTTTTTTTCAGATAGTAATTTCTAAGTAGATGATTTTTGAGAATACTGAAGAAACCCACAAAACCTGGAGAAATATTTCTTCCAATTATATATATTTGAAGTTTTCCATTAATCATCTACATATTAGTAGATCTGAAGAGAACTGGAAAAAACAGATCAATTAATTGGCTTACTCTAATTCAGTTTATAGCAACAGAAAAGTATTTTGAGATTTAGAAACTTTAATGAATACATTGAAAATTAGTATTATTACAGTCTAGGATATAGTACAAATCTTCTGCACCTCCTTTTATTTATTTATTTTTAAAGATTTGTAACCAGACAAACACGCATCCTGGTTTAAAACCAATATTCCATGCAGTTATTTATACACTCCCATAGCAGAGGCACAGGCCACTGTCTTTGAGGTTTTTCAAATTAACTCATAACGCAGAGTCCTTTCTGTGCATCTATGATTATGCGGTAGACTGGGCTCACAACTGTGAAACCGCCCTTCAGATCTCAGTGTTCATTTACTACTAAATATAGCAGCACTGCCTTAAAGTCTGTTCTTCTGTATCAGATCATTCTCTGACACTGGCTCTTTGTGCTCATCCACGTTGACCAGAACTAACAACACGAGGGCCACAAGCAGCCTGCCTTCCACTGTGGGTTTTTTTTTTTTCTGTCTCCTTGCCTCCAGCACAGGCAAAGTTCTGGAATTACCAACTATGCCTTTCAGAGGTTCTAAACAAAATTGTAGCTGAATTGAACAGAGGAGCTTTGGTTCTGCAGGGAGCATGGACGGGAATGAAGCACTGGAGCCGCTGCCCTGACTGGGACACCACATCAGAGGACTCCGACCTGGGGGCTGGCAATGCCAAACGAGAACACTTGTGCACCCATGCGTTAGTGTGTCTAACATTTATTACAACGTGATCTCAATTTTTTTTTTTTTTTAAATCTATTCAATTTCTGTTAATAAGCTGTGGATGGGGGAGGAAGTGGGAGGAAGAGGGTAAGTTCATTAATAGCTTGGCCCCTTGGGGCAGTATGAAAAGAGAACTGGGGAGTCAGCACTGGACATTGCCAGACCCAGGCACTTCTAACAAGGATCCAAGGACCCTGTATCGGATTGCCCACTTTCTCCTTTACCCCCACACATACAGTATACACCTATTATTTATTTTTTGCTGTCAAACACAGAAGCATTAAATCCACTTACCTAATGTAGACTTGTTCTTGCTGACAAGCCAACAATGATACCCAAAGAGAGAAGACAGACTGACAGAAAACATAGCAGCAGCAAAGAATAAAAACATGATGTGGAACTTCGCTTGAGTGTCAGGAAGGCCGTTCTAAAAATAAAAATAAAAAAAAAAGCTGTTAGAATTGGGGAAATAGCTGTTCAATTTGATTATTAAAAATCCCCTATTCAACCAAATCAAATTCAGCACAGACACAAACGTACCATGCAACAAGAGTCTGAATAAAGGAATTATACACCTTCGATGTATGAATGGCCGTGCAATTAGGTTGTTGACAGCATCTAGGTTAAAGAAATGAGCCCTTTCTTGAGAAACTATAAATACTGACAAGACCCTGCAATTTGGATCTGAACTCTGAAATGTCTTTAGAGAAGAATAACTTATCTTTAAAAAAAACTGTCATGTTTAATTAGCCTTTTTAAAATAGTAATATATGCATAAATACTGCAAATCTAAGAAGGTAATATCCTAAGTTGTGAACCCAGATAATCATAATTAAAATACTTGAGAATGACCCTGAAGACTTTTCATAGCATAGCATTAAAAGAAGTTAACAAAACCTACATATAAATTAATTCCCTTGTAAACTATTTTCTAAATAATTAATAATAGCATACTTGTTCTACACAGTTTCAAAATAATGCAGGAATAAGTGAAACTTCTTAAACTATGATAAACAGAAACAAAACAGAGGACTACAATTATTAGATAAACTTTTGTACCTCGTATTAGGATACCAGATTACAATGTAAAGCCTCGAATCTTAAGACTTCTTGCACAGTGGTAACTTCACACGCTTAAAGACAGAATGTATGTATATTAAGAGTACTTACTGTCCAAAACTTGATAAAATACTGTAAATCCGTTGCAGCAATGAAAAGGCAATACAGTAGAGAGTAAGCCAAGAAGAGAAGAAAAAATTTGTAATTGGAGAATCCTACACAGTTGTTCACCCTGATAAAAAAAAAGTAAAAATAAAAATGGAATGTAAAGAAAGTTACATTCTATGCTTCCATCCAATTTAGAATTAAACTAATTTGCTCTAAGAAGGTTAATATCAATACGCAAACCAAGTTTTGCTTCTTATCTGTGACGCCTCAAGCTACTGAAATGTATTTAACTTCAAGTCCGAAATTAGTGTAGAAATTCTAATCAAAAGAACAACCACAACCACTCCAAAGAACTTTATCAGGTGCTACCACTTTCAACAGTTTACTGAAATTCAGTTTTGACTTGTTGTATGAAATCTGTTCCCAGGACATCCGATATAAGTGTGACTGAAGGTATAGTTACTTTTTTAGTTTGTAGGTAAGTTTAAGTATCCATGTTTTACCATTAGGCATACTGCACACAACAACTGGGACAGTTAAAAGCCAAGATTTTGAATCTTGATTGAATTTTGTGAGAATAAAAGCAGTCTCATTTAATCCACACCCTCCTTCATTAATCATACTACATATTAGTGTAAACTTTATTATTAAGATTCTCAAACTTAAGAATATTCACAAGAGATCCCTAAAATATTTTCATTTATATAAAATAATGAGGGAAATACTACTGTGATTAAAAATATGTTCCATATTGGTGATAAAATGACAGCAAATAAAAAAAGTTAGGAACATTTAAATACACATCCAAATGTTAAAATAAATCTCATTTTAGCATTTTTACTTATGGGTTTCAAATTCACCTGTTCCCCATTTCTAAAGAATTTATACATGATAATGAGCAATTAGTATACACTATCATCAGAGAGACATGATGAGAGTACATTTAGTATGACAGCATCTTCCCATTAGAGGCAATATATTAAGTATTATGAATTTCAGAGCTCTATTAACATGTAATGATGTTTCATCCACCAAATGAAAAATACTGGAGTGCTGCCCATGGACAGTTTATTGGTCGCCACCATTTCTCATTTATTTGGCTGCATTAAGAAGCTAGCCAAAGTTATCACTGTGCTGCTAACTTTGACAAAACTCTCCATAAGAGTTTGAAAAAACCAAGATCCCTATACCTTCTTTAATTAATCGATACTGCTGTCAGAAAGATCAGCTAATTAAGAGATGACTACATCCATGAAAGCACTTGTATGTTGAAAAATAATTCTCAAAAAATAAGAAGGTGCAGCAAGTCTCAACTTTAGCTTCTTCTAGAAGTACGGGACAAGTAATTGCTACTCTTCTCTTCTTTGGGGAGACAGTGATGCTAATGGCAGTAATTAGAATAGGGTAAAAATCTTAAAATACCAAATAAAATTTCACTGTACACTACTGTTATCCACCCTCAGGTTATATATTCCATTATTACATCATATTCTATGATAACCCTACTTTATGACAGTTTTTACTTTATGACACTGTTAACTGAGAAAAGAAACATCAAGTGAAATGTTATTCACCAGAGATGAAGTTTCTTGAATCAAAGACCGATTTATTTCTCGTTGTTCTTTTGCACTACTGCATACAGTACACACACACTAAAAAAACCCCTTCATAAATTATCCCACTCCCTGCAGTTTCGACAAAGCCCCAGACTGAGGAGTTCATCAAAAGATTAAATCATAGAATCATAGAATCATAGAATCACTTTGGCTGGAAAAGACCTTTGAGATCATCGAGTCCAACCTTTAACCTAACCCTGCCATCCCACCACTAAACCATGTCCCTAAGCACCTCTTCTATCCTTCTTTTAAATACCTCCA